CCTGGGTATATGTATACCTGGGTATATGTATACGTATACCTGGGTATGTGTATACCTGGGTATATGTATACCTGGGTATGGGTTATTGGTTTTAAAAGAAATAAGTAAAAACTTATTACACTTCCTGAGTAACTTGCCCAAAACTGCTCTCAGTAGGGAAGAAAACAAACAGCTGCTTTGCAACACTCACACATTAATAATGCAGGACATACGTTTTTAGATGAGAAGTGAAAGGAAGTTTGTTTCAGTTTTAGTGGTGTATACGTACAGTGGCTTCACCATTTCAATGACGTATATATATTATGAAAAACACTCCAAATGCACAGCAGATCTGAGAACCATCACCACTTGGGTGTTTAAAAAGTTAGATTTAGGAAAGCTCATAGTAGGGGGGTTATTTAGTTGCCAGTGTGGAGAAGAAACTCATTGATGCTGCACACAGCGCCTGCATGTTCATCAAGAAAACAGAGTGTAGCTTTCTCTAAAACCATAAACAGTTTCCAGTCTTCATGCTAAGCTAACCGCGTCCTGACTCCAAGTCTGCACTTAAAGTAGCACATGTGCATGAGACTGAAAAGTAAGAGAAAAATGCTCATCAAAATGTTTTGACATAACTAATAAAACGCTACAGCGCCAACAACTCACATGGTTCAAGGTGTATTCGTAAACTTCAGAGAATCTCTCCAGCAGATCGGGCTTCTTGGTCTGACTGTAGGCCATCAGGAAGGCGATGAGAGCCTCACAGTGGGGCCACCACAGCTTCATATTCCACTCCAACTGGTCAAACATACAAACAGCAGCACACAGCCTCATTTCATGCTTTTTTAGAAAACTCAGTGATCAGACAAATGCAAACAATATCTTCTGTCGCAACTGTGTCAACTGTCTAAAGCAAAACACCATCGTGTGTATGGGTGATTGGTTCACCTGTGTGGGGCAGTGACCATCCACATCCAGGAAGTAGAAGAAGCCGCCGTGCTCTTTGTCCCAGCCGTCCTGATAAGGCAGCTCCACAAACTTGTTGATGGCGGTCCTCCGGAGCTCCTCGTCCTCCTGCTCTGCACTGGCCTGAAGCAGGAACCAGCCCGCTTCCAGAGCATGGCCTGAGTCAGCACGGGTCGACATGTGGGGGAAGACCAAAGACACGTTGGAAAATGTTGAGGTCGGCAACAAAGGACAGGATAAGAGCCCAACCCGAGCTCCCCCTTGCAACTCACTGTGCTCGCCATCATCTGGCTGACTGGTCAGCAGGCGGTGCAGTGTTTACCTGGGTTCTGCAGTCGGCCCTGGCAACCTGGCAGCTCTGCTCCCTCCAGTGACACACTCTCTAGAATAGCGGTGCCGTCTCTCTGTACCAAGTTACAAGAGAAAAAAAAAAGAAATGTTATATTCAGCATATTAAACGCAGGGTTGGTAATCTTGAGCAGCAAGAGTATGCTAGATTTTAAGTGATTTAACCATAAACCCAGCTCAGTGTTGCCAACTCTTTCCCAACAAAATAATTACTGAAAATATAAGGTGGCAATCATATTTTCAGTTTTGGCAACCAAAAGATGATGCCTACTTGTAAAAGTTAGCGTTGAACTGCCCTAAATCTCACCACTTTATGGGGTCATTTCAATCACGAAGCATACCTGGATGTGTTGTAGAATCTGCTGAACACACCAGCTGGCCAGCTCTCTGTACTTCTGAGCAACCTCCCGACCCCGGCCTTCCGTTAGCTGTTCCACCAGACACAGCAGCATCATGGGGACCGCCATGCTGTTGGTGGGAACGTCTCCGGGAAGCTGGGGCCGGCCCAGGCCCGACGAGTCCACCCGAACCCAGTAGATCAACTGCTCCATCATCTGCTCAGCCTCCAGCTGGTGACACACGACAGAGCAGAAGCTCATCAGAGTGATGGTGCAACCATGTGGGAATGTGAGGGTGGTTGTAGGAGGATCAAGCGTGTTCAGGCACATTCACCTTCCGTTTTACGTTCATGTACGTTGAGTCACTGATGCTGACTCTGTAATGCATCATTTTATTATTATAGCAAAGGTTATTATATTGACTGCTCAATTGTGTTAAATATTTGCGGGGTCCAATAGTTTGTAGAGGAAACAAAAAAAACAACTCTATTTGAAAACTCTAACTGTAGATTGACCACAAAGTACAAAACATTTGCATACAAAGTGGTATATTATACTTCCCTTAATATCCAGAATCATCAGAATTTTAAGTTTTTGTCAGCACTTACCCCACTATAGGGAGCGTTTTGTTGTCTAACAATGTCAAAATAGATTTGGGACCATTTTCTGGGAACCACGATCCAGAGTTGCAAAATAAAATAAAATAAAATAAATAGGGGAACTAGTTTTACCATAGCTTGATGAGTTTCAACGTCTGTTTCTGTTCATGCACAATCAGCAAAAAGTGGGCATAGTGCAATACATGTGGCAACTATAGTCACAACACAGAGCTAGGGATCAACCGGCTGTGATTTGTGAACGACCCGCTCTACCTCCTGAGACATTCATCTTTCACAAACATTGTTATGGACCAGGAGTTTCCAACATATGTATTATATACAAATAGTTTTGATTATTGCTTTGTACCTGCATGTCCTTGTCACCAGTGACCCTGCTCAGTTCATCCATGGCCATGATGTAGAAACACTCACTGAATATGGTCCTCTGAATCTTGAGTGCTTTACCATCTCTTGTTAAGCAGAAGGCACACTTCCACTGGCCACTGCTGCTGCTGGAGACACGAGCAAACTTCCTCAGGAAAGCTCCCCCTAAGATGCAAACAGAACAATGTAACATTAGCTTATGATTCATGAGCAAAACTTATAAAGCCCTTTTTTACACACATGAATACGTGAGATTGCTGGCTTCATCTATCTGTTCAATTAGTTGACAATGTTCACTTCAGCTTTGTTCAGATATGACTTTAAAGGGGATATACTGTACTGTGCTAATTTTTTTAGGTTCATAATTTTTTTTTTTTTTTTTTTTACTAGAACACATTTACATGCTTTTATGTAAAAAAACACACATTGTTTTTCGCATACTGTCTGTGTGAATATACCGCTCCGTATTAGCGCCCGTCTCTTGTCCTCCCGAAAATAGCTCAGTCTGCTCTGATTGGCATGCTATATTAATGGATGTATTGGCTGGAATTGATCAATTGTATTACCATGTTATACATCCACGGGCTGTGTGCTGTAAAGCCTGTACCGTGGTGAATGCATTAACATATCTGTTCCCAAACAACCGGCTATCGGCCAGTAGCACAACATATACAGAAATGAACACAGAATTATTAATTGTAGGTTATTTACGAACACGCTGGACAAAAGCAAGGCCTCTCATATACATCCATGGGCTGTGGTCTATTGTACATCTACTGTGGAGGTCCTAGACACTAGATCCCAGCTCCTCTGGGAAGCGGGGGGGGGGGGAATGTATTAAAGAGATAGTTAAGTAAGTAAATAATTGAAATCGAATGCATATTGTTAAACACAGGCCATTTTGATAGGGACATAAAATATATCACAATAGAATAGAACAAATTTAGCTTTACTTTTGTACAGCACTCTGTAGGCAAACGTTCCACTGGTGCCCTTTGATACTACTGTGGCCGCTTTCAGTCCAAAATGGCGGAGTCGTAGCTCTGCTGCTGCATGCCGATGTTGCAGTGAAACGACCATTTAGCTATCTCTTCTCATTAATATACGTTTTTTTGGATGGGGGGGGGGGGGTAATCTAATGAGCATGCATGTGACATAGGAAGGGGAGGCAAATCTGAATAGCTTGTTGAATCACATGTTTTCTAACATAGGCAGCCTGATTATTTTCTATAATGATGTCTTATTTCACAGTTTGTGGGTTGGTAGGCACTCCAGACACCCAAACGTATGTGCACAAACATTGACAAAGACAGCTCTTCATGCTATGTCCCCTTTAAGAGCTGTAATGCTCGCACGTGCTGGAGAACAGTGGTCAGCTGGAGATTGTGATGACATGAAGGAAGATCAGTGTTTGCTGTTCTTTCACAAGCTGCCCCAGTGATTGATTTGAAAAACACATCAATGATCCCAAACTGGGCCTAGAAAGGTTTGTTTCTTAGTTTCCATAAAGATGACATTTTTGCAGCTCCAAGGTTTCCTTCCAACAGTGACGACATGTTACATGTTACATGCCATAATGATGATTAGCAGAGAGTGCACAGCAAACACTATCATGACTGTCATGAATCACCGGAGTCTACAAAAGCAGTGTGCACCATCTGTTGCAAAGATTGAGCTGAGGTCACGTTAAACTAATGTTCACTTTGTTCATTTTAAATGCACATACATTTTATCTTTACACATGTTGAGTATGATCCAGTAATCTGCAAAAACTATTAAATAATATACTGGAAAGTAAGAAGTATCACCTGAGATTTAAAAAAGCTCTGCTAAGCAGCTTCTTGAGGCTTCCATCTTTGCTAAATCCAACAACACGACAGTGAACTGGTGAAAGTAAAAAATAACACACCTAAGTATGGTCTGCATTTTGTACTACCATGTCATTTGAAAGTGCCTTCATCATTTCTAGTGTTAATTGTGAAATGAAATTCTATTTGGACTGTAGGAACAACAGCGATGAATTTGCTCTTCTTCCAGAGGCTCTCCAGTGCTGAGGCTAAACATTGTCTGGGTTCATTAAAACTAAAGGGTTCATCCTCTGGGGAGTGAGTTACTGAGTTCATGGGTGAGGGTAAAATGGAGATGGGTAGGCTGTTCGGTCAGAGGGGCGGTGACGCAAGCATTGTACCAGACCTACGTAGTGAAGAGGGAGCTGAGCCAGAAGGCAAAGCTCTCAATTGACCAGTCCTTCTACATTCCGACCCTCACCTGTAATCATGAGCTTTGGTTAGTGACTGGAAGAACGAGATTACAGATACAAGAGGCCGAAATGAGCTTCTTTTATAGGGTGGCTGGGCTCAGCCTTAGAGATAGGATGGGCAGCTCAGACATCCGGCAAGAGCCGCTGCTCCTTTGCGTTGAAAGAAAGCCAGTCTAGAGTACCAAAGATTCAACCAAAGAGAGAACAGAAAACTCTCTCTTGACACTTCAGTAGTGCTAACGCTAAGAGCTTTACATTCCAACACATACACACACACACACACCGGCTTTTGCTGCTTCCAGAATTTCAGGCTTGCGGAAGCGTTCCATGGTTCGGTACAGGCGGCAATACATCCACACCTGTGAAAGAGACAAGCCAAAATATATTCACCTAACATCTGATGACCACATATCAGGCAGTGGATTACTTGTTCCGCACTGCCAGTATCATGAGAGAGACTCACCTGTCTACCCTGCAGCCAGACATACTTCAGCTCATCATAAACCTTCCCATCCCTCCCGATACAAGTGAAGAAGCCTCTGAAACACAGAGCAGGAAGTTTATCACAAGGAAACATAAACTGCATGCACAGTACAAACAGCTGTACACAACTGCTCAGCATGCAAGTTATGAGTTGTAACTTTTTGGTACAGTACCCATGTGTCGTATCATGAGAGTATTTGAGCCAGAAGGCCACTGCGTTGTCCAGTTCTTTACGAATCCGCTGTCGCCACTCCTCCAGCTTCACCACAGACATGGTTCCCTTCAAACATGAAAATCAATGAAAAACACTTATCATCTTACTAGTGGTGCAATGGATCATAAAACTCACGGTTTGGATCGGATCACGGATCAGAGACACAGATTGGATCACAGACCACAAAAGAAAAAAGGAGCATATAGAACTTTAGATCCCTCTTCACGTTTTTTGTGATCTGGGATCCGGCTCCTGTGTGGCTTTGACAATGACATTTAAAGAAGTAAAGGGAGATTATGGTTGTATAAGAACATTGTTTATGTTATATTTATATTGTTGCTTAATAAATATAAATTAACTGTTGTCTGTGTCACTGGGTCTTCTTTGTCCTGTAAGTGGAAACTGATGATGTGTTACTATGACTAAGTATTTAGTCGCTACCAGTGGTGGGCCGTCAGGGCCAGCAAAGCCTTTAATTTAATAATTTTTCACAAATACACTACATGTATTTCCCATTATCTTATTATCTCATTGCACAGCAACTGTCTCCCTCAGTTGCTCTGCTTCCAGTGCAGCTTGTTTTAAGTAGAGCTTTTATCCAATCAGATTCCACCTCTGTGTCTCTAGGTAAGAAGAGAGGCCCGAGGCCCTCTAGGTAGACTTTGCAGATTAAAGTAAATGGGGACGATATTGTTGATTGTCATAGTCTTCAATCAATCAGATCTTTAGTTTGACATGTTGGCCGTATTCTTTGACGTGTCAGAGCTGTCTAGGTAGTCTACAAGTACGTCAGCATTAACGTGCGCTGTGATTGGTCATTGGGCTAGCGTCACTATTGTGAAACTTAAGCTAGCTAGCTGAAGTTAGTAGTAATAGTAAGAGTTCAAGTTGAAAGATATGTAAGAAGTTATGACATTTTTAGTGTTTTGCTTGGTGTAGATTCTTTTTTTTTTTTTTTAACCTAGCTTTGTTTTTTTAACACTCAATGGCTGAAGGAGGAGAAACGGATTTGGTGGCGGAGTTACTGACAACGCCTTTCTGGAGAAGGACATTTCAGGAGAAAAGGACATCGTATCAAAGGGTCGGCCAACCCCACAGCTAGCAGCCCTGACCCAGCCAGGAAAAGGATTTGTACGAACGGTATTCCTGGCTAACAGCTCGGAGAAGCGTTGCACATGTTATGGCTGGGAATGCGTTTCATTTGCAACTGAGCGTCTTGGTGTTTGGAGCTACGCTACGCTAACCTGAGGTGGCTAACCAAGGCAGCAACAAGACACCATAGCACGGCAGGACACTTACAAGCTACGGTGCTTTTGAAAACTTTTGCTGAGACCCGAGTGGACCTCTGGCTGGAACTGAACCGCGTCATTAAACTCTTTGTAATCAAAGAAAGGAGGATGGACTTTGTCTTTAAATAGTGAACAGCAGCTTTGGTAAGTGAACTTATTTCGTTGTTTTTATATCTGCAGTAGTGTTCATTTGTCTATGGTGTTGTTTTTATAATATGGTTAATATTGTTCCCTCTGATGTGAATGATATTTGAATGGTGCTATTTAGTGTGCGGTGGAATACATGTTTTAGCGCTGCAGTGTTGCTGGATTGATTTGTCATGCTTTGTTGTCATATGAATATATGCAACTGGTTCTTGTGAGTTTGTTCTTGTCATTGTGTTAATTACATTGATTTTGACTATATGCATTGTCCGTTAATGACGAAGCATCCGGCCATGCGCGGGGTTAGGGTCGGACATTTGATTCTCTGTTTGGAGTTTTCTTTTCTTTTACAAAGCAAGAAATATGGTCTGGAGAAATGGGGATTGTGTGGCGATTGCTTCAGCCCCGTTTAATTCAGTAGATTCAGCTGCCTAAATGCTGCGGGGAGAGTGTAGCGTGTTTGCTGCTGTTGTTTTCCTACTAAGCTAGTTTAGTGTAGCCTCCCAGACGACATTCGCCGTACCAGAATGTTGTTGTTCCGGGGGGTGGGAGTGTCAGACAGCATGTTGCCTGTTGGGTGGTTGCCAGGTTGAAGGCAGTCCAAAAAAACCATTATATTTCCCACAATTTAAGCTTCTGCATTTTCCAAATGCACTAGTATTATTCAAACGTATTGTTCGGTTCGTAAGCCTCGTACCGAACGGTTTAATATGAATACGTGTATTGTTACACCCCTAGAAACAAATTATAACCGTAGCTGTGGCGCCATCATGAGGTCATTAGGAGGTGGTTCAACTGTAGTAGGACAGCACAGAAGGCCCAGGTATAAAATGCACGGCCCGCCACTGGCTGCTACATATTGAACTGTGAGCATTTCAACGTTTAAAACACGGTGACGTTTAAAAGTGGTTGAAAAGTGAACGTTTTTTCAACGACTATTTGAAGACGTTGATTAAACGTTTAGACCAGATTTCACCAGCATTTGCAATATTGGCTTTCAACTGAGAAATGTGGATCTGGTTTCTTAGTAGGCCTAAGCCTCTAAAATGATGATATATTATTATTAGCAAAATGTAGAGGATACAAAATTGTAGTATTGCAAATCCCGTTGAAATCTGGTCTAAACGTGAACGTTCAATCAACGTCTTCAAATTGTCTTTCACTTTCACTTTCCAACCAACTTTAAACGTCTTTTCAACGGAAAAATGCTCGCTGGGTGGTGCTGATTCACCACTGTGGTTTGCGTGAGTGAGGGACCAAAAGAAGGAAACACTATCTGCCTACAGAGTACCATAAATAACACTATCTGCTTACAGAGTACCATAAATAAACACTATCTGCCTACAGAGTACCATAAATAAACACTATCTGCCTACAGAGTACCATAAATAAACACTATCTGCCTACAGAGTACCATAAAGAAACAACGTACCAGAGTTGTGAGGCGTTCAAGTGTCTTGTCTGACAAAACACTTAAAGAGACAGGCACTGTACTGCAGCAATGGAAACATATTTTGAACATTAAAGCATGTCAACACTTTCTAGTAAAGCCAGGAAATTTAAAGAGCACGAACCTGAAACTGTGCTAAATCTGTCCCCTTTACAGTTAAACTCTCTAAATTCACAAACACAAAATGTGTCATCTTGTTTTTTCTAGCTCGGCATCTTTCACCATCAAAAGTCTCGAGCCAACAACAAGCTATTATCCGACCAATAACTTGTTGTTCCCTTATTCTTGCTAAAAAGAGAGAAAAACAGTTCCTCTGCTGTCGGCACACACATTGCAGCAGCCGTTAGTGTTTCTCGTGCAATATGTCAGTGCTCCGTTTCAGTAGCGGTTAGAAGAAAGAAGACAGAAGCACCGGAGCACCATGGGTTGACTGTTCTTACCTTCTGCTCCAGGTACGGACAGACAGTGAAGAGACACGCCTCCTGCAGCGGCGCTCGGCTCACTCCCGACGAGCCGTCCGTCACATGACCGGGCATCAGCGCTGCTCCAGCGGCGAAGAGGAAGAGGAAGTGGAAGCTGGTCACGGAGCGGTTTCAACACGGAGCGCTCCTACTCAAGTAAATAGAACTGTGCTATCAAAAGGGCTGGAATGTGCACATGCGGCATAAAAAGTAGATTACTCTGTTGTTCTCACGAGCTCGTAGGACAGAGGTCAGGAAGCAGGGGGAACATTGTACAATAATGTTGAAAATGAAAGAAAGCATTATGCACTGTTCTTATTATTATTTATCTTTATGTCAGAAAAGAGGAGAAATAAAAACATGCTCTTTTAGACTCACCACGAGATTTTAAGAAAGTACTATGTGATTGAGTTGAAAAGATTAATTTATATACAAATATGTCAGTGTCTGAAGGTATGCCAAGTAATTAATTTTCATGAGTGGTTGTATTTTATGTGTGTTGTCCTCTTCATACATGTTTATTAAGCGTCCCTACGGTATTTGTTCACAAACCAGCAGATGGCAGCATGGGGTCGTCCACTGTACCAGCATTCAAATTTCCTTAACTACCTGTCATTTGTTAATTTATAAGAGACACTGCACACCACAGGAAAATATAAAAACATTTCCACAAACTTCTATTTGTCATTAGTAATTGTGTCATTGAAACTAAACCTTTGTCCCAGGCGGCAACATCCGGGTCTGAAAAGTAAAGCCAATAGAGAAGTGTCTTAAACTTGCATTCTTTCTAGTGGTCAGCAGGGGGAAACTCCTCTGTTTGCAAAAAGTGTCAATGTGTATCTTAATAATGTATGGTCCCATATACAGTCAAATAGATCATAAAGCAGGATATGCTTTAGGGCGGGGCTACCTAGTGATTGTTTTCAGTTCATTAGACATTTTGGTCTCCGATAAATGTCTTGTACAGCATTTGGTTGTAGCCTACCAGATGTCCCAGTTTGTCCAGGATTGTCCCAGTTTCAAGCAAGTCCCAACACTTACCTGTGAAACATTCAAATGTCCCGGTTTTCATCAGTCACTACCAAATTGTCCCAGTTTTAACCACAATTGAAAAAAACACGTGTCTGAATTCGACACTGATTTGTCTGTATGTGTCGATAAATCAATGTGTTGTTTCAATGATGCTTGCAGCTGTTCCTGACAGAACCTGTCAGTATGCTAACTGTTAGCCGTTGGTCTTTTATAAAGAGCTCGTACAGTACCGAGCAACAAAAATGCTGAGTTGTGCACACACTGAAAGAACACATTTTCCATTACATTAAATAACATTACAGTCATTTAGCAGACGCTTTTATCCAAAGCGACTTACAATAAGTGTATTCAACATCGGTTTTCGAGAGAACAACTAGTCACCAAAAGTCATAATCTTCTTTCTTCAAACACGCATCTAAGAGCATAAACCAGAGCCAACGTACAGTGCAGAAACAAACGAATGCAATAAGTGCCACAAACTAATATGAATACAATAAGTGCAGTAAGCTAGTATGACTACAATAGAGTAGAGGTAGCCAACACGGTGCCCGCGGGCACCCTGTCGCCCGCAGGGACCACGTGAGTCAAGGCAAGGCAAGGCATGTTCTAAAAATAGCACCATGGAGCTCCGTCTAAAATTGTAGTTGCTGTTCTTTTTTAATCAAAAACGCTTGCATTATTGTAGATTTTAAAATGACAATATTTCTTGTCATAAGAGAGTTGGGTACCCGGAGGCGCACGGCGGACAGCCAGGACGAGGCCGCCGTACTGCACTAGGTTTTCAGGTTCCGAATGGCGGGCGCTTCCCGTTGGCGCCAGACGCGCTCCGCGAGCGCACCCCGTCGTCAGGTCCGTAAATCCTCGAAGCAGGCCTCGGGGCAACAACTCAGGGGTGGCGGGGGTAGAGGCGAGGCAACGCAATCCGACCGAAAAGGCCCAGACTAGAGGTGGGAACGCGGGCGCCCAAAGACGCTCGCGCGCCTCGGAGGGTTGGATCCCCCGCTCGGCTATAGACGAGACTTTTTACTAGTTTCTTCGTGGAGAAAAAGGTACCACTGGTGTCGGTGATAACAGACGGGGCTCCCGCGATGACGGGCCGGCATGCAGGCTTCATTGCGCAATGCAAAGGTGACCCAGACTTCTCAACATGTCTACATTACCACTGGATCATTCACCAGCAGGCGCTATGTGCAAAAGTAACCGGTTTTAATCATGTGATGATACAAAAATATCAGAGATGTGATACCTCTGACTTTCAAATGTTGAAACAGATTAACAGAAATAAAAGTTGCATGTTTAAATATGTATGTGTAGCTATACCATCATTGTTGTGGAAATCATTATTAATAATTAGTGAGGAATAATTAACTGACATGTGATCAAACAGTCTCTTCACATATATTATTATTATTAAGGTGATCTGTGCAACTTTGTTATTCAGGAAGTTTGCATCAAATAAGTAGCCCTTCGTACTACTCGGTACCCTTGAAGTAGCTCTCAGTTTAAAAAAGGTTGGTGACCCCTGCAATAGATGCTAAGTGGAAGGCTCAGGGTAGGTCTTCTTGAAGAGGTGAGTTTTCAGCCTGATGAAAGATGGGCAGCGACTCTGCTGTCCTGACGTCAGTGGGGAGTTCATTCCGCCACTGTGGGGCCAGGACAGAAAACAGCCGCGACCCGGTCGATCAGCCGTAGGGACCTCTGAGCGACGGGGCAACCAATCACCTCGAGGCAGCAGAGCGAAGGGTCGGGCGGGGGTGTAGGGCTTGACCATGGCCTGGAGATAGGAAGGAGCTGTTCCGTTCACTGCCCTGTAGGTTAGCACCAGAGTCTTAAACTGGATGCGAGCTCTTATAGGTAGCCAGTGTAGAGATCGGAGAAGGGAAGTTGTGCAGGAGAACTTGGGGCGATTGAACACCAGGCGAGCTGCAGATTTCTGGACAAGCTGCAGAGGTCTGATGGCCGATTTTCCATTGAAATGCTGATAAAACAGATCACATTAAGACAGACAGATGTACAATATACAGTGGCTGGCAGAGAATGTGACGGGTCCATTTTGCTGCGCTTATGCACACTGACAAATTATTTGTGTTTAGTTCTTTAGTTTATTATTGTTACACAGTTATCAAGATTCTCTGAGGCGCTGTACATGGTGCTGAAAGGCGTGTTAGCTCGCTAGCTAGGTGAGCTAAATGCTGGAATACTCATCCCCCATCCTGATGAAAATGTCTATGGTGCGTGCATAAGGCCATACATCTGCATGCGTGACGATGCGGTACACTTAAGGTCTCGATTTGGGAGTTTGAAAATATGGTCACACTGTAGTCAGCTCCACACTCTCGTGTCACTTCTAGTTGTGAACATAAACAAGATGGCGATGACCAAACTAGAGGCTTCAAAACCAAAGTTGACAAATCAACGGTGACAACATCCACTGCTTAGTCTCTGCCTTGTGCCCAGACAGCAGACAGACACAGAGACTAGCTGGTGAACCTTTTAATGTCATCATCTATCTGCTTGTTGTGTTTACAATTTGTTCTTCTGCTCACAAATAGTCAAAAAGAAAAAATATATATGTCAATTTAGGCAGATTTAATTCATATCCTGGGAAGTCGGTAAAGTTTGGACCAACAGCAGCCCAAATGTGGTGGTCAGATGACTGATGAATCACCAATTCAAAAGGCAAAACTAGCCTATGTGACCATGATTCTCAGCCCCCAAATCCTCCTCTGATGTAGCAGTCATACACTGTATGAGTGAGAAGCAGGTTCAGTTGGCATACAGGAGTCACATGCTTGTAGTTGTATTGGTCACGGCTGCCAACAAGACACCACTTACACGTGTTGAGTGACATGCTGGTCATTTTTATACTTCTATTAAACGTGACATTCATTCAACAACACACGTGGGATTATAACCACATCGTAAAACTAAACCACTTATTAAAATGGCAGACAGTAAATATGATGTACTGTACAGTAAATAGGGAGTGATGTTAGACACCAAAGTGTTCATGAAGCTGTATGACTGACAGGATGTAACCCCGATGCATTACCTCTGCAGGCCTGCTATTGGCTGATTGAGTGATCAAGGGAACATTGTGTGTTCACAGAATTACTCTGTAAACAAAAGGACAATATTTTCCAGTTAACTTTGTACTGTAATGAAGCAGCCTGAGACATTGTATTCCAATCCATGCCATACATTTTATTTACAAAATGTAACAAAGTAAAACTAGTCAAACAAAGTTAACTAACCAGACATATGTTTTCAAAGACCAGAAAACAGTAAACATATAAGTGAATATGGAATCAGTCCTTCATCGAAGTGGTCCATAATCAAAAGAAATAATACAGTTATATTAGAATAGAAACTAGAGTATTACTCAACAACATCACGTTGCAGTTCATTCTGAAACCCAACAGAGGGCACTCCATGACCGCAAATGGCCACCAACTAATTATAGAACGGGGAGATCATCTCTTTTTTGGTGATATAAAACTCTTTGACAACTGGATAACTGGAGAACTACAACTAAATTACATTTCTGTGCTAACAGGAACAAGCCAAAGAAGATATATTTTCATATTTTTACACATGTTCTTAAAGGAATACTCCACCATTAAAATGACCAATATTGTATCATCAATTACTCACCGCATGTTACCCAGAATTCTAGAAGAAATCATCGTTTTGAACGGTGAACGGGCGGAAACAAAGTGGATCCTTGCTGAATTTAAGTAAATTGCGGCCACGTTTAACAACAGCAAAACTGTATCAAAGATCTGATAACAAACTCTCACACAACTTGTGCAGTATAATCCAAGTCTCATTGATCCAGCCGTGTGCTCACTACTACCCAAACACGTGCATTTTTGCAAAAATCATACTATTTAAAACACTTCCTCCGCTGTAGTACGAGTGGAGGAAGTGTCTCAGAAACGCATGTGTTCGTCAAGGATTTACTCCATTCAGGGAGGCATGCGAGAAAAACTAAGTTTTCTTTCAGAATTCAAGGTAACACAGGGTGAATAACTGATACACAAATGGTCATTTTGCGGGTGAAGTATTACTTTAATGATGGCCATGGTCTTAAGCAGGGTCCACATCTATTTACAGACCAGAAGTTA